TTGGTTATAGTTGGGCATTGTTGCATAGTGAAACTTGAAATGGGGATTCTCCAGAATGTTGAGAAAAAACATGGTCCACATCTAATGCTTTCTGATACTCTCACCTTTAGCTACTCACCTTCATTTCTCTACTGTTCTACCATTACTAAAGGAATGCATCATAATGCCAATCTAGACATGATGTTGCTCCCAGAAACATTAACTATGTAATTATGCCTAATCTCTGTTCTGGACCATTGAAAAGTATATTGGTATGTGTCTGATGCAGTGCTATACCTGAGGGTATGGTAGGCTATGTGGTATGCCATGCAGTCACTGTGTTTCTCTACAAGGCAATTATGAACCTACTGTGATTACATCACAACCATCCTGATATAAGGTCTGAGCCCAGTAGAGACACACAACAGGCCCCACCTTGCCATATCAACTTTCCTAATGACTCTGTTGCAATGCTTTCATGGCAACTGTACAGGACCTACGCAGGCAGTTGAGGTGTTAACAAGGAAATCAATGTCTGCCAGACACTGTATCGACAGTGACTAAAGTGGCTGGTTTAAGAGTTTTGTGAGGTGAAATATCTGCCTCCTCATACTCTCTGGTCTATAATGACAACATTCTAGAGATCATCCTCCCTGAGAGAGAGAGAGAGAGAGAGAGAGAGAGAGAGAGAGAGAAGAGAGAGAAGAGAAGAGAGAGAGAAGAGAGAGAGGCAGAGATCGGATAGGAAGAGAGCGCTATCTCTAGACCTCGAGCGATATAGCTCTCTAGCTATCGCTCTCGGCTTATCTCTCTCTCGCTCTATAACGCTGCTCTCTCTCTTCTCTCGCGGCTGCCTTTCCTCTCTCTCTCTCTTCTTCTCTCTCCACTCTCACTCTCGCTTCACGTGCCTGCCGCTCCCTATCTCCTCTCTCCTCGCTCTCTAACTCTTCGCTCCAATCGCCTGTCCTTATTTTACTTTGAGGTAGATTCTCACACGAAGGATACCACTGTAGAGACTCCTAACACATGAAAGGCTCACCGCTCTTCATAAAACTTTACATGAAACCAGACTGGTTCTTTTTTACAGTGTAGGGAGCAGGGTTGCTTGTTTACGTTTGAAATGTCAAGGATAGCAAGCAGTGTATCTGATGCAGGACAGGGTGAATAGTCAGAGATCCTGACTTGACTGTGTTTCTAAACCAGCCAGCCCCTCTTTGCTGAGCTGTTCCCACATCTGGTTATAATCAACAGACCCTCCACCCTCCCAGCATCAACAGACCATTGGCAGGAAAATTATCAAGGAAAGGTGTGTTTCAGATAGAGATAGAAGTCTTCACACATACACACACACATTCATGCACACTCCCTTGACAGTGCCACTTGCAATATACACATGCATACACCTTCCTGGCCACTCCTCTCTAGAGTGGTTTTGTAGCAACCTACGGACAGTGGGGTGAGACACAGACCTCATTGTTTGTATGGGGATAGACAGTGAACCGCTCCTGAAACTAATGGAGCCCCACCCTGGTTGACTGTGCCGGTCTCCGACATCTCTCCCTGTTTACCCAGCAGGTTAATGGTTAACCGCCACCTCAAGGACTGTCTATATCCCCATCACCACCTGGCAGCTACACTGTCCTATTGTCACCTGAAGAAGAGGGGAGATAGTCCTATCAATAACTTCTGCATTTGCTTTAGACTTCATTTTCATTTTTGGGAAAAGCTCTTGGAAAAACATTGAATTCAGATACTACTCGATTATCTGACTGTTTTGACATCTTGGATGCAGTTTTCGAAGAGAATGGGCCCGGCTCGCAAACGTCTGATGAAACCTTATTCACGGGATGCAGAGGCATTTTCAACAGGGTGAAAGCTATTCACGTCTGAGAGGGATCTGTGAATGATCTGCACTGTTTTCAATAGTGTGTTGAGAATTATTTTGCTTCCTGTCACATTCAGTTTCCTGAAGCTTATTTCTTCTCACTGATTTGGCTAGATGTTGGGGGGGGTTGTGGAAATTGAGTAAGCAGGAAAGGTGTGGAATTTGTGTCGGAATTCCAGGGCACAGATGTAACCAACCACAAGTGAGCGTAATGGAGTGCCAAATGTAGCCACAGTGTTTGTATTGTTGCTGTTGTCATTGTGTCCACCTCCCACCACTGTGCTGATAGGTTGTTTTACCCAGCTCAGAGTCAGACGAGAACCAATCTCTGTGCCTGTCCATCTAGTCTGGTCGTAGTAACTGACAGGGATCTGGTTTCAGGAGTGCATTACTGACCTTAAGGGACAGGAGAGTTGTGCTGGGTAGAGAGTAGGGAAGTAGGCCATAGGGATCCAGGGGGTTTTAAGTGATAGTAACACCTCTAAATGTGTTAAGCCTCTCGTGCAATTGCTTTCTAATACCAAATGTTCAACGACAACGACAGGGGAAGTGGACATACTCCCAGAGGTACAATACTCCAACTGCATTAGACTGAGCCGTCATGCAACTCCGTGCCGCACCACTCAAGATTAATGGACTTGTTTTTCTTCAAGGAGCGTGAAGGTAACTGAAGGTTGTGTGCACATCTGTCCTCTGTAACTCAATCACCTTTTCAGCCAGCGAGACGGGACTGCACCGCTTTCCAGTTAGGAAACTCTCTCTCTTTCTCTCTCTTTCGCTCTGTTTATCTCTTTACCAAGGATATTTTTCTTGCTTTTCGCTGCTGGTTTGTCTGAGCTGTGCTCACCAAGGCACTCTGAGGCGTCTGGATCTGGACACAGTAACACTGCCTGCCTGCCAGAGCTAGCATTATAATAAAATACTTGTGGCCAGGGTTACTAGAGGCCAACGGCCGCAGCTCCTCTCTGTGTTTGATAGAGAGAGGGAGAGGGAGAGAGGGCTGGAATCATGTGGCAGCAGTCAGCTGGGTCCAGCTCTCACACTGAAAGGGAGTAGTACCCACACCAGGTTCAGCCACAGCAGTCTCCAAGCCACAGCCACTGGACACACAACAGCTCTGTCTGTTTGTCTGCAGCAGACCTGGACCACTGGATCACCAGCATTCAAATCCACTGTTCTGAAGACCCCACGAGGCCACCACTGGTTTAGGTGTCCGTCCGTGTGCCTGAGGGAAGTGAGTGGAGTATGGAGGCTCAGGAGGCTCACAGGGGTCTGGCGTCGGACTGGGAGGCGGTGCTGGAGCTGGATAAACCCCTGGCTGGGTGGCTCCCACAGGATCCGGCCCGGGGAGAGTTTGGCTGGGAGTGGGGCTGGGCCGCCTCGGACCACCAAGACCAGGACTGGGAGTCAGAGGAGGTCCCTGCAGTAAGTGACTGACCCTCCCCCCAGAGAGCTGATGCCAGGAGGGGGAGCGGCTGGGAGGGAAGAGGGGGGAGAAGGTTGGGATGGGCAGTTTGTGTACTGTACGTGTTCCAAGAGCATAACTCTGTGGTTCCCTCCCGCAATTATATTTTGGCAAGCAAATGAAGTGAAAGGCATGAGTCAGTAGCTATTTGCATTCCCATAGTACCCATGGACCCTTTCCCTTGACAAAGAAGGCTGCGGTTTAAGGGGCATAGGCAGGCGTTTGTTGTGAAATGGGGGCTCTAATACTTTTGATATGTTAGGCAGTTATAGAGAGTACTTTCTGTGAACATTTCTAGAATGTAAATATGTCCGACTCATAATCCATTTTTCCAGCCTTCAAAGTTCTCAAATTTACCACGTTTTCATGACAGGCACCACTGGTTTCCATTCATAGCTTAACAGAAACATATTATTTCTATCCATTCTGGGCTGTTCTTGTTATATGAGTATAGAACATGTAGCTAGTTGATGTTAATGTGAACAGTCTGTTGTTTTCCTTCAGATTGAAGCAGCGAGAGGTTTTTCCCCTGAAGGGATGTCTTTGGTTACCGAATTGGCAGGCATTGTTTCCTGAAGCTGTTCCTACTAAAAGACAGCATCTGGCTCAGACACATAGAGCACTCACCTCTGTACGTCTGGCTGTGGGTCACACCAATACTTCCCTCTTTAAACAAGCCTGAATCCAGGCCCAAGATAAGATTTACCCTAATGCCTGAGAATGTAACAAGAGAGAATGAATTCCTCTGTGTGAGAACAGAACATTGCTTCTCATTATCTAAACCAACAACGGACTCAGACTAGGTTTTCTAAGATAAACCAATAGCTACAGTTGAAGTCGGAAGTTTACATACACCTTAGCCAAATACATTTAAACTCAGTCTTTCACAATTCCTGACATTTAATCCTAGTAAAAATTCCCTGTTTTAGGTCAGTTAGGATCACCACTTTATTTTAAGAATGTGAAATGTCAGAATAATAGTAGAGAGAATGATTTATTTCAGCTTTTATTTCTTTCATCACATTCCCAGGGGGTCAGAAGTTTACATACACTCAATTAGTATTTGGTAGCATTGCCTTTAAATTGTTTAACTTGGGTCAAACGTTTCGGGTAGCCTTCCACAAGCTTCCCACAGTAAGTTGGGTGAATTTTGGCCGATTCCTCCTGACAAAGATGGTGTAACTGAGTCAGGTTTGTAGGCCTCCTTGCTCGCACACGCTTTTTCAGTTCTGCCCACAAAAATATTCTATAGGATTGAGGTCAGGGCTTTGTGATGGCCACTCCAATACCTTGACTTTGTTGTCCTTAAGCCATTTTAACTATAGTTTGTTAACAAGAAATGTGTGGAGTGGTTGAAAAACGAGTTTTAATGACTCCAACCTAAGTGTATGTAAACTTCTGACTTCAACTGTACGTAAGGGTTTCTAACAGAGCAGGTTTGATTTGTGACTTTGTCCCACGCTGTCCTACATATTAACTGTTGCTGCATAAAAAACAACATTGTGTGTGTTCATATAATGATGCTACTATATATTGTTGTCTTTGGAATGTGACTCACATTAGGAATGCTCACGATGCTCAAGAGCATGCTTATTGAATGTCCTGAAGTGGCTAAATGTCAACAGGGGATCGTGCTTGGTATCAAGTCTGGTTTAAAATGCCCTTGTGAAAATGGGTGCAGTCCAGTGTGTGTATGTGAGAGAGAGAGAGTGTGTGTTCAGGAATGTGTACGTGTGAGTCGTCCCTCTCTAAGAGGTTACCAATGTTGCTCTCCGTCTCTCCAGGTGTTGAGCCCCACATACAAACAGCGTAATGAGGACTTCAGGAAGCTCTTCAAGCAGCTACCGGACACAGAGAGACTCATCGTGGGTGAGTTACTAAGGCAAATTGCTAAGCAACTAAGTCCAATTCGGTCAGCAATATGGTGGATATAGGACATTTGTTTGGTTTTGGACAAGTTGGGGTTGGCTGGTTGGGGTCAATTCCATTTAAACTATCAATTCAGGTAATTCATCTTCTGAATCGACAATATTTAAATAGAAATAACCCCGACATTGATGGGTGGATGATGTATTCTACCTGGGCTTTGATTTTTGACCTCTGACCTGTGCTGGCAGATTACTCCTGCGCCCTACAACGAGACATCCTCCTGCAGGGCCGACTCTACCTCTCGGAAAACTGGATTTGTTTTTATAGCAACATCTTCCGCTGGGAAACGCTGGTACGCGCTGGGTCTCTGCCTGGGACTTTATGTTATTTTCATCTTATCTATATTTCCCTGGTGTTGGTTAGTTTGCAGTATTGAAATAGAATTGATTGTATTTCTATGGTTTGCAACACAGTAGATATTGCATTATTGTGGTTCAGTAACAGTTCAACAGATATATTTATCTGAATATTAAGCAATATTAAGCAAAAAAAAACGATTTTGTTTGAATGTGTGTGCAGCTGACAGTGAGGCTGAAGGACATCTGCACCATGACGAAGGAGAAGACAGCCCGCCTCATCCCCAACGCCATCCAGGTGTCCACAGACGGTGAGAAGGTAAGACAGGACAGGGACCGAATCTTCGGCATTCACTGACTGAGGGGAGGCTCAAACTTTCTCCTCAGTCTTATTTCAAAACATATTTTTGAACTGATACAAACATTATTTCCATTCTCTCCTCACAGCACTTTCTCACCTCATTTGGAGCGCGGGACAGGACCTACATGATGATGTTCAGATTATGGCAGAATGCACTGCTGGACAAGGTAAGCCAGCAACCTCAATTAACCTCATCACAAAAAATCTACATGTTCAGTATATTGATACTTTTCTTTTCCATTGAATCCAAGTCTCTGCCATACTGAGTGTTGTCTCTAACCCCTGTGCTCTAGCCCCTGTGCCCCAAAGAGCTATGGCACTTTGTCCATCAGTGCTATGGCAACGAACTTGGCCTGACCAGTGACGACGAGGACTACGTTCCCCCTGATGACGACTTTAACACCATGGGGTGGGTGTGGTTTCCATGGCAACAGATATAAACAAGCCTCATCAATTACCATGGTTGATTAAGATGCCATTGATCTTCTGCAGGTTGTTATGAGAGGCTGGCCTCATTACTGAAGCACACACAAACACACACACCCCTTTCAGCCCTGCTTCACATCCCTCTCAGCCCTCTGACCATTACCATGTAAAAGCAACACTCCAGAACTCATAACCCTAACCTCCAGCTGGTCCCTGTTCCCCCACGGTGGTGGTGCAGGTTCTGTGAGGAGATCCCTAACGAGGAGAATGAGATCAGTAATGACAACTCGTCTAAGAGCAGCACAGAGGCCAAGCACGAGGGCAGCCCACCATCCATACACAAGAAATGCATCATCACCAACAGCACCATCAGCTCATCCATCAGCAGCGAGCCCCTCTCTGTGAGTCTCAGCGACATAATAGAGGTCAGAAGTTAAATCAATTACTGTTTTGTTATTTGTTTTGATGAAGTGGGAAATGCATTTGTAATTCTGCCTATAGACTGCATATAGGGAATAAAGTTAATGCAACAGAATGTTTCGTAATTTGATTACCGGAACTGAATTAACACCAAAACATGAACACAGACCATCCTACTCATAACTATGTACTATATTATCCTACAGTGTCTTTCTAGTGACTGACCCCATCCTCCTCCCCCTCTGTGTGTCCTAGTTTGACCTCCCTCCAGAGGAGTACATCGACTGCCTCCCTGACGGGGAGCTACTGGCCTTGCCCCTGGTGCTGGAGCAGAGGCTAGCGGAGGCCAGCGGCCTGGTGCCCTCACCTTCCCTAGACTTCAACGACAATGAAGACATCCCCACCGAACTCAGCGACTCCTCAGAGACCCACGACGAGGGTACGGATTCAATCTTCCGTCCATTAACAGATTTGATGCATATACACTACCGGTCAAAGGTTTTAGAACACCTACTCATTCAAGGGTTTTTCTTTATTTTTACTATTTTCTACATTGTAGAATAATAGTGATGACATCAAACTATGAAATAACACATATGGAATCATGTAGTAACCAAAAAAGTGTTAAACAAATCAAAATATATTTTATATTTGAGATTCTTCAAAGTAGCCACCTTTTGCCTTGATGACAGCTTTGCACACTCTTGGCATTCTCTCAACCAGCTTCACCTGGAATGCTTTTCCAACAGTCTTGAAGGAGTTCCCACATATGCTGAGCACTTGTTGACTGCTTTTCCTTCACTCTGCGGTCCGACTCATCCCAAACCATCTCAATTTGGTTGAGGTCGGGGGATTGTGGAGGCCAGGTCATCTGATGCAGCACTCCAGCACTCTCCTTCTTGGTAAAATAGCCCTTACACAGCCTGGAGGTGTGTTGGGTCATTGTCCTGTTGAAAAACAAATGATAGTCCCACTAAGCCCAAACCAGATGGGATGGCGTATCGCTGCAGAATGCTGTGGTAGCCATGCTGGTTAAGTGTATAATAAATCACAGACAGTGTCACCAGCAAAGCACCCCCACACCATAACACCTCCTCCTCCATGCTTTACGGTAGGAAATACACATGCGGAGATCATCCGTTCACCCACACCGCGTCTCACAAAGACACAGCGGTTGGAATCAAAAATGTCAAATTTGGACAACTTTCCACCAGTCTAATGTCCATTGCTCGTGTTTCTTGGCCCAAGCCAGTCTCTTCTTCTTATTGGTGTCCTTTAGTAGTGATTTCTTTGCAGCAATTCGTGGCCTGATTCACACAGTCTCCTCTGAACAGTTGATGTTGAGATGTGTCTGTTACTTGAACTCTGTGAAGCATTTATTTGGGCTGAAATTTCTGAGGCTGGTAACTCTAATGAACTTATCCTCTGCAGCAGAGGTAACTATGGGTCTTCCATTCCTGTGGCGGTCCTCATGAGAGCCAGTTTCATCATAGCGCTTTATGGTTTTTGCGACTGCACTTGAAGAATCTTTCAAAGTTCTTGAAATGTTCTGTATTGACTGACCTTCATGTCTTAAAGTAATGATGGACTGTCGTTTCTCTTTGCTTATTTGAGCTGTTCTGGCTATAATATGGATTTGGTCTTTTGCCAAATAGGGCTATCTTCTGTATACCCCCCTACCGTGTCACAACACAACTGATTGGCTCAAACGCATTAAGAAGGAAAGAAATTCCACAAATTAACTTTTAAGAAGGCACACCTGTTAATTGAAATGCATTCCAGGTGACTACCTCATGAAGCTGGTTGAGAGAATGCCAAGAGTGTGCAAAGCTGTCATCAAGGCAAAGGGTGGCTATTTGAAGAATCTCAAATGTAAAATGGTTACTACATGATTCCATATGTGTTATTTCATAGTTTTGATTTCTTCACTATTATTCTACAAAGTAGATAATAGTAAAAATAAAGAAAAACCCTTGAATGAGAAGGTGTTCTAAAACCTTTGACCGGTACTGTATATATGGCATGAAACAGGCTCTTCAGTGATGCCGCTAAGTCTTGGTAATACTGTCACCATATGATATTATGTCCCTAAGGGCACTTCATCTAAAGTGTGTTTCCCTTTAAGGCTCTCCAGCAGGGGAGGTGCAGGCCTTCCACGACGACCTTAAAGGGAGACAGTACATCGATGAGGTTTACAAGTTCAGTGTGGACAAGATGTATAACATCCTCTTCACAGAATCCCAGTTTATGACCGACTTCATGGAGCAGCGCAGGTTCTCTGGTCAGTCAGACATTCTGTCCGTTGGCGTTAGCGTCAGCATCACATTATTGGCTCTTCCATTGGTGTTGTCCTTTGACTATGTAGCGAAAGAATGTGTATCCATATAACCCCACACAGATATAGTGTTTCACCCCTGGAAGAAGGATGATGCAGCGGGGAACCAGACGAGAGAGATCATGTACACCATCTCCCTGTCCAACCCGCTGGCCCCCAAGACAGCCACAGTCACAGAGACCCAGACACTGTACAAGGCCAGCCATGAGAGTGAGTGCTACATCATCGATGCTGAGGTCATCACACACGACGTGCCCTACCATGACTACTTCTACACGCTCAACCGTTACATGCTGACACGGGTGGCCAAGAACAAGTGCCGGTTAAGGTGAGGAGGGCCTTATAACATCTGTTGTAATAACATGTGGCTCTTGAAACTATTACATGTTCATTTAGAAACACTGCCTTATACCAGCCTATGCCTTGTCCCTAGGGTGTCCACTGAGCTACGTTACAGAAAACAGCCATGGGGATTAGTGAAGGGCTTCATCGAGAAGAACTTCTGGAGCGGGCTGGACGAGAACTTCCGCCATCTTGGTAAGTTCCTTTACTAGCTGTTAAGTCTGTCACACCAAATATCCAGCAACATTTAATCTGATGACCGTAAGCCATCCTAATGTATGAATGTAAAAACGGCATCTGTGTGCCCTGTCAGAGTTGGAACTGTCGAAGGTGGAGGATGTGGTGTTGGAGTCGGCCCGGCCCTCTCCCAAGGTCAAGGTGGTGAAGACGTCTGTAAGACGGAGGAAGAGACCCCTGGTCCACCTACGGAGCCAGCACCTGGACAACGTCCTCCTCAGCCCCATCACCACGCCAACCGACGACGAGGTCATCCACCGCATCAAACACGTGGGCGTGACAGGTCAGATGGCAGGGGGACACTTTCTTTTAAAAACGTTTTTTTACTTTCTTTTACTTTTTTTATACTCTTATACACACACTTATAAACTCTTATACACTGTAGGTTCTTATACACTTTCATACAGTACATACATTACATACACTCTTATACATTTCCACACATTATATTGTGTTAAATATATCTAGTTGACCTGGTCTGTGTTTGGTCTGCCCCCCTCAGGTTCCACTCAGACCAGGCACATGCCTGAGCAACTTCCTGGAGGCTCCACCCTCTACAGCGTCTCCAAACTGCTGCTCATCATCAGCTTTGTGTGAGTACACTCTCTATCTCACACACACTCGTACACACACACACATACAGTATACACACCCACTTTCAGATCCATCTTAATCATTTGTGTTTCATTTGTAGTCATTTCAGTTCAACTTTCTTTGAAATCTTTAGTAGTTAGCAAAAATCTGATTTTGTGTTTAACATTTGTTTGTTTTTGTTTGTGTTCTGAATGTGATTCCTCTCTCCTCTCCTGTCCTTTCATTGCTTGCCATAGGATCTGTCTAAGGTACATCTGTCTAAAGATAAACCACTTAGACCTGACTTGGAAGCATACTCCGCCCTCATTGTAACTGGTTCATTAATGAATATACAGACTAAAGCGCCTCTGTAGCTTTCATCACTCATCTTCTTTCCTTTGTCCATTACATTCTTCTGTTTTCCTCTCCTCTTTCAGCCTGGTTTTGCTGGTGTTCCTCAACATGATGCTGTTCTATAAGCTGTGGATGCTGGAATATTCTGCACAACATCTTACCACCTGGCAAGGGCTCCGGATACATGAAAGGTACGCTAAGTCGCTAACCACCCATAGGTTTTTGGCATTATGCCTATTGCCTACATATGACTGTGTCCTTAGTCAAACCCAGACTGCATATGCCTGTTTAGATTCATCTGAAAACCAAATGGGCTTCAGCCTGTTTTCCCAACCACAAAAATCTTATGCTGCATAATTGCCCCTGAACAATGCTTTGCTTTGTGTTGCTCTTGGCCGTGGCATCTGGGTGTGTTTGACAGTATGTGTGTGTTTCTGTCTAGTAAACTGCCCCAGACGCAGATGGAGTGGGCCCAGCTCCTGGAGTCCCAACAGCGTTACCATGATGCTGAGCTGCAGAAGTGGAGAGAGATCATCAAATCCTCAGTGGTGCTATTAGACCAGGTAGGGAACAGTGGTACTATTAGACCAGGTAGGGAACAGTGGTACTATTAGACCAGGTAGGGAACAGTGGTACTATTAGACCAGGTAGGGAACAGTGGTACTATTAGACCAGGTAGGGAACAGTGGTACTATTAGACCAGGTAGGGAACAGTGGTACTATTAGACCAGGTAGGGAACAGTGGTACTATTAGACCAGGTAGGGAACAGTGGTACTATCAGACCAGGTAGGGAACAGTGGTACTATCAGTCCAGGTAGGGAACAGTAGTACTATGATTATAGTTATTTGGGGGGTTTTAATGTTTTCTGTTTTCCTCTACAGATGAAAGACTCTCTATTGAACCTTCAAAGGGGCATCGGCTTAAGGGACTACAGCTCAGAAGCTGAGGAGAAAAGAAGCCATTACCACTGACATACGACCTTAGGCCATGAGGGCATGGTGTGCAATATAGGAACTGTTTGTGTATAAGTATGCAAACAAAACAAAGAGAGACAAGAGACCAACCGACCGTGAGGCAAGCTGGCCCCAGTGTGACAGGGACGGCCTGCCGGCTGCCACCCCCCAGCTCACAGAGGTCACGACCCCGCAGGTCAGACCATGCATGGACAGGAAGTGCCCCTATCACAGACAGGAAATTAACAGTGGGGTTCCCACAGCACTGAGGCATCATGGGAAGGCGACAGCTCCGCTTACCTTGATGCCACTTCTGTCTCTTATTTTTCTTTGTCTTTTAATTTTGGAAGGACATCGTACTGTAAGCCATTGCCACGTGGGGAATAGAGGACAAAAAAAAGCTCAGCATGTGATTTTACTTTTCACCTTAACTCCTCTCAATGAGCGTCTTTCTGTGGTTCCATTCCTGCTTTGTGAGTGTCTAAAGACGAACAAAAGAGGAGAGATAGACGAGGAAAGGGGTCCTACAGTCTCTAGGCTTTCTACACTCCCTTGACTGTTCCAAACCGATCCTCCCCTACAGGTCCGCGCTGCAGTGTCCCTTTTATTAACCCCTCTGATCTTGGCCACAGATCATGCTGTAGAGTAGCAGGATCACCAGCAAAGACATATTATAGAGTATATCTATGTGGAAACACATTTCCACTGAAATGTCTCTACTGCCTTGTTTTTTCCCTGGGCTCAACAGTGCATCAGGGCTGGTTTCCCTAATCACCTAGAGCTAGGCTGTTGTGTTGGAATTTGTATAATGATTGATTTAGGTGGAGGAGGGTCCTTCTTACAGGTACTCAATACAGAGAAACGTTAAGAGATTGCAGGATGTTATTGGGGATAGAGAGGATATGTAATGTGGCGCGTCAAAACATCCATGCTTGGTGGCAAATGGATCTCCTGTTAACAACAGGAATTTATGGAATTTAGAGTCTTCTTGAAGGTTTATGAATGAGCTTTATGTTGTATTGCCACTATTGTACTAGTTGGGTAATGCAGTCCATTGTCCATCAGACTTATCAACTTATCAGTTGTGGAACAGTATTTTGAAAAAAAATGAAGAATGATAGCTAGCCTGTCACTGCTACCTTTCAAAGTATGGCAACAATACAGAGCTTTTATTTATCAGTTACTGGCGACTTGTTTTACGCACAGTGTTAATTAGTTGCATAATTTGTTGCACATTTATCCAAATTTGTTTGTACCGATCTGTAAGAGCCGAGAATGTAGTATATCTTGACCAGTAGTCTTTTCTGTAGGAAAAGACAGCATGCAGACTAAGAAGTCATTGATATTTGAAAAAGGGATACTGCAGCAAAACAATTAGGGAGACCTGTGTTCTTACGTAAGTGTTCCATTACTAAACTGTGACTATATCTCTTAAAAATGTTTGAAGATGGAAATAATGATATAAATATATTTGAAATATATATATGTATATTTCAATATTTCATATATATTTCAAGATCTATACACATAGCATATATTAATTGTTTATTTATGTATAAAGGAAAGTTATCAGAGCTCTAGGCGGGTTCAGGAATTTATAAAGAAAACTGTTTTCTTCAGAAAAGAATGCCAGATATGTCTGTGACATGTCTTGTATGCATGTGTGCTTGAGTGTACTGTATGTTTCTGTGTGCGTGCGTGTGTGCACGTGTGTTATTTATAGAGTCTGACATTTCTATCATTCCACACATGGATATGTCTCAACATTTCATTTCTGGCACATGTAGCCAAACTGCCTTTTATAATGCCCATGCGTTTGGATGCAGCCTTGCATTAGCCTCTCTGGCTAACAGTTTACAATCAGCCCCATATGGACATCTCTGTGTCCATGCCAAGGGGCTTGACTCAAACACAGACACACACCCTCTTTGCTTATCCATATCAACAACCTGCATCCCTACTGATTTCAAATCATACACACACCCCCACTCTCCGTGTCCAGTGTTTGTGATGGAATCTGTACACAATTCAATTGAACCAAAACAGAGTGTAGATAAAGCCTTCATAAGATTTAATTCATTTTCAATTAGCTATTTATCATTGATTTATTGAAAGACAAGTAAATACCTGCTGGATTAACCTCTTGCTGCAGCAAGAGCTCAGTGATAAAATCACTTCCAAAAAGAGAAACAGTACTGCACTTTATGGACCTTCCAAATAGAGAATGAAAGAAACTCAGTGGTATTGCAGCCCTTATGTTGTAGTGAAACTGAAGCCCTTTTTGCATTCTAAAAAGTATTATGTGTATCCAATATAGAATGCTTACTCTGTATCTTTGATTGAAATTACATTTCTCAAGCATCCAGTCAACACATTTCTATTCACTTGATGATGTAATTACATTACATTGTCATTTGCATTTTGCAATGTTAGTCCCAAAAGAGCAATTCCAGCCAGCTTTGTGAGTGACTGTTACTCTCTTAGATATTTCAGGGTTAGACAGGACAGGAGTGGGTTGTGTGTGGACTGTGGAGGAGTGGGTATCTAGCTCTTTAATGCAGGGGCGTCAAACAAATGTTGCCCCGGGGGCCCCATTCGGTCCTCAATGATCGAGGTTCGGAGGGCCGCTCTGAAAATGTGTTATACAGTATTTCCTCGCAATCAAAATGTGCAACAACAAAAAAATCATCTATCCTGACTGTCTAGCTTTCACTTTGGTGATTGATAGCGAGCTGGACACAGTCAAGAAACTGTATGAATGTAGGTCCATTATATGATTTCTACACAGTTTCGATTTGGTTTTGGTCATTTAAAGTATATTGAGTTAATTTGAGTATGTTTGACACCCCTGCTTTAATGTGTGCTGGCATTGCATTGGTGAGTTACTGAATGAGTGATCTCTCATGAACAGACTATAGGCTAGATTCTAGTTCTGGGTTTCCGAGGTTACTGAATGAGCATGTTTTAGGCTTGGCTCTCCTGCGGTGTGTCATGTGATGACTTTTGATATGGCAAGGTGTATTATTGGTAATTTATGGAAATCTTAAGATCTGAATCACAGTGATTGGAAATGTTTCTGTTTTATAGAAATCCCTTTCACAATCAAGCTATATTATACTGAAAGATATGCTGAGGTTATGTTTCAAATATGTGATTATATTTCATATGTGAAAATGTGATTGAAATGCTTTGTTTATTTTTAAAGTGTAAGTACTTTTTGAGTTATAAAATTGCTTGGATTTCTATATTTATTTTAGTAATTAAAATGGACAAATCATCTGAAAGAAGCATGGTAACATACCATGGGTTTCTCATGTTAGCAACTAGAATGTCTGCATAAGATGGGTGTATTAACTGTCATTCATTCCAACTGTTAACTTAAAGTCATCTCATTCTGAAATTTATGACAATACCACAAAACATTACAACTAGTTTATAAGTATGTAATTAGCTGTTATGCAGAATTATAGCATGTTATGTGTCATATGAGTAAACATCTTATGCTCGTGCTTATGAACTAGTTATAAGGGCATGTATGGTTGATGTTTGTTTATGCAACAAGCATTATACCATAGTGTAGCAATATCCATAGAAAACACAGGATATTCAGTCATATTATTCAGCATTACTAGCAATCACCATTACTTTCTTTAAAAATGTAACTCATGACCTCTCATAGATCTGATTAGCTTTTTAGTTGTAGATTTTTTTTGGTACTTTCACACATATTTTGGCATTACCCAGTATGATTGTATGATTGCTATTCTTGCTCTAAAGCAGTGTAACCAAGGCTCCAGATGTCTTGACAGAGCCATTCTGTTGTCATCAACCTGCATACATTGTGTGCTTCACTGACTACATTCAATGAAATCTGCCTAGCTGTTACAATTAAAGCAAGGCGCTCTCCCACTCATACTGAAATTTCTGGCTAACGCACAGAAGGTTTCCCAACCTCTTTCTTGAAAATTACTACTGAACAAATTCATAGCAACGTTCTACAAGTGTCTTGGCATTATCTTACTGGTGTAGTTCAGTTCAAAAACATAATGTATGTTTTTTAGACCTGTTTTGATCTGTAAAATGATTCTTAATTAGATGTATACATGGTATATATACTGTAAGTATACGTTGTGTATATCTGCAGTGTACACACACTGACAAGAGAATCAAACCTGCGCTGTGCGTGGGTTTTGACTTGCAGATGACTTTGCCTAATAGAGACTAAGATAAAGTGGCTTTCTGGTAGATGTGAAGTAGAGATTGGAGGTATGAATAAAAAAGTATTGAACAAAAACATTCAAGATTTGTGAAGTTTACTCTTTTAAAATATGTTTTCCCCTTGATGAAGCCTACAAGAACTACATCATCAACAACTGGACATGCAAGGCAAAGAGGGGAACATTGGTGAGTGAAACATAGTACTTTAGGATTCTATCTTCATGAATAAACAAGCTTGATTCTGGGGTTCTTACAGTCTTGGTTAATAACAACTTCTATCAAGCACACCTGGACATACTGTATTTAATCTCTGTTAACCCAGAAATAATATCTTGCCTATTTTGGGCAGCTGCGTGATTAACTTGTGTTTATAGGTGTTAGAACGAAGTCTCCACCCTTGCAAAAGGAAACCACAGACAGAAGGGTAACACAGACACGTCACAGGGGATATATAACTGAAGCATCCGTTTAGAACGTTCTCACCACCTTATAATTTTCTCATCATGAAACATCTGATCTCAATAAATTTTTCTTCTCCCAAAATTAGAATCTGTTACAAACACAGTGCACTAAGTTTTATAGACTTGACGCTTTGCCAAAGTTTTGAAAAATTGCGTTGTTTACAACCAGTGCACAGTCGAAAGGAGTTTGTGCAGACGCGCACTTCACACAGGAAGCGTTCCCTGACGGAAATGTGCAAATACTGCTACAACGCGCCGATAACATCTCGCTAGCTCGTGCTTGGCTTTGCCCACGTCCTTGCTTGTTCTGCCCACTATGCTTCATTTGCTCTCACTGTAAACGACACAGATTAAGTATCTTGGGTTAGTTATACATTTTATATATTTGAGGAAACTCCCATTATTCTACAACAACACATCGGTAATTAATGAGTACAGAAATCCCCATGTGCACTACAAATTCAATACTCATACCCTCTCAAAATGTGTGAACATTTTGACCATCAGCTTTAAGAGTTCACTGTTCCCCTCCTTGCAAAAGCAGTACCTTATCCTCAAAGACCTTGCTTGACATTCAGCAATGTGCATTTTGTATCTAGTCTATGTGGGAACATGTTGGACCCACACCAATGTAATATTAATATATTTCTGCACTTTTTCTCACCAAAATGGTATATGGGATTTTCTCTGAAACATTGATAGAAATTAATAGTGGATGTGTTGCTATTTTCGGGACAAGCTAATATGTCTTACAGAAAGGCCTTTTCAAGGTAATTGAGATAACCATTTTAAGAGAAACATGGTATTTTGAGCCTCCAAATTTTAAGTATGTAATTTTTATCTCATTGAAGTTATATTTAATTTGTATCACAGTAATGTATCAGATAATTAAATATAAAATGGCTTTACGTTTTTTTTTTCAATATTTGAATTTAAGAAAATATATACAAAGACATACAGACATGAAAAATGAAAGTTATATTAAAATATATTTATTTATTCAAATAAATATACTTTTAAAATAAAATTTTCTTGCAAAAAAAAACGAAAAATGAAATAGAAAAATCATCCAGATTTTCAATGGGTGATTGTTGACCAAGCCACATGCCCTTAAGGTGTTTTTGATGCCACTGCTCTGGTTGTCAAGGCTGGCCTGCCAGAAAAATATTGCCTGGCCGAAGCTCCCATTGGTCACTGAAGTGACTTTTGGGGTCTCTTCTCATTATGGCAGGGGAGTAGAACCATAGTAGAACCACATCTGTGGCTGTTTGGCCGCTACTCTTGATGTTTCTGATTTAGTATAAAACTGTTGAATATCCATGATCATTTCAAAATATCATCTGAATTAAGAGGAATGCTGCGCAGTCCCTTTTTATAGTCCCATGGGGATGACGTCACAAGTGATTTGCTTTGTTGGATGTTGCGTCATGTGAATGTGATGACGTCACTGCCGTGGAACGCTGTAAATAGCGGGTTCAGCCGCTCAATCCGTATAGTTTGAAATATCATCTATCATCATAATGCCAAGACGCAGACGCTCCTCTCGTGCTCGCCCAGTCCCCAGGAGCCGCAGAACCAGGACTGTGAGGCGTAGGAAGTGTGGGAGCAGAAGGAGGCTGTGTGGGAGCAGAAGGAGGCTTTAGGCTGTGTGGGGACAGAAGGAGATGATAGGCTGTGTGGGGGCAGACGGAGGCGTTAGGCTGTGTGGGGGCAGACGGAGGCGTTAGGCTGTGTGGGGGCAGACGGAGGCGTTAGGCTGTGTGGGGGCAGAAGGAGGCTTTAGGCTGCGAGGGATGGTCTGTTGGAGGTTTCAGATTCAGACACGTTCTGATATGATGTATTGCTTACAAAGATCCCACTAAGCATTTACAGACGGCGACCTCTTTTGGACGTCTTTTTTGGTCCAGTCTGGACCGGCCTTGATTTAAATGTCTAAGGACATTGCTTTTTGGTTCGGCCCCGACCAAATCTGAACCAATCATAGACGTCTATGTATGGTTCAGATTTTGTCAGGTCTGGACCGGCCTTGATTTCAACATCCACAGAAGTCCAGTCCCGACCGGCCTACAAGGGGTCGGCAGAAAGCTACATTTACCTTAGAAAGCTATTCATGACTTGTCAGAAATATCCAGATCAGCTAACATTTTTTTGCTAAGAGACAGTAGAGTACAGTAAAGAATAGTAAAGTATAGTGTATTGTATTCTACCCGACTTTACTCTGATGTACTCTACTCTTATCCAGAGTCACTTACAGTCAGTGCAGTGCATTCAACTAAGGTAGATAAACAACAAAATATAACAGTCATAGCAATACAATACAAATTCTGTAACCATTACTGAGAATGTTATTCTAGTTGAAGTGGTCTGTTGGTTTATTGTATAGGTAACATCATTGCTGCCAGTTCTAAAGCTTTTGAAAAAGCTAACATAAGTGGATGTGACAGAAGGGAGCAAAGAATAAATATTTTCAAAGTCATTTTGTCCTTTCAACATCAAGAAAATAGGTATTTTTGAAGTCATTTCATCTTTCATTCAGCACCTAAAATGCACCTGGTGTCAGCGTCTGGAAAATACGTCTAAAATATATTTGTTACTTCATTTTGCTTACTGGGATATGACTAAAGATACCATTGATGTTAAGGGTTAATGGCCAGTTGATATCTTTTGACCCTCTTATTTATCGTCATATTTCATTCAATTTGTTCCAGTGAAGCATGCCATCAATAGGATAACCAGGTATCCAGCCAGCCTCAACCCGCATTATTCGAGTGTGTATGGCTGGGGTAGATGTGTAGTGCGTAAAAGTAGTGAGAAAATACATAGGGAATGGGCCATAGCCAACCCACCAAGACACACAGCATTTTTCATCAAATGACAACTGAGGCAGGATTGCAAGGGGTGGATGAAATCCCGGTTTTAATCATGACTGTGATATCAGAGCCAATAGAGTGTGGAGGAGGGCGGAGCACACCATTCTACGTCTGACAGCTGCGAAATAGAACATGTATAGCATAGCGCACAGCCACAGGCACCCATGCTGCAAATAGGCAACCTGCATTATAGCCTAATACAAATAAACCAACTTGGATATCCACATGTGCGATGAAGAACAAAAGTGGATGCAACACGGGGGTTAAGAAACAATAAGATAAGGACTTGAGCAATAACCTTTTGTAAAATAAATATTGGAAGTAATTCAGGTGTTTCTATCAAACCATTGGAAAAGGTTTTGGAACCATGTACGGTGCCTTTTCTTTCCCAATGACTGCGGAGCGCAGTCGGAATAAGGAGCGCCTGGAGGCCAGTCTGGCCGGACTCTGTGAGC